CTAGGAGCATCCTTACTACTAGTAACAAGAAGCTACTAGTAACAAATAGCCGCTACTAGGAGCAAGAAGCTACTAGGGGCTCCTGGCCTTACTATATACTAGGAGCAAGGACGCTACTACGGGCTCCTGGCCTTACTACTAGGAGCAAGGACGCTACTAGGGGCTCCTGGCCTTACTACTAGGACGCTACGAGGGGTTCCTGGCCTTACGCCTTGCTACTAGGAGCAAGGACGCTACTAGGGGCTCCTGGCCTTACTTCTAGGAGCAAGGACGCTACTAGGGGCTCCTGGCCTTACTTCTAGGAGCATGGACGCTACTGGGGGCTCCTGGCCTTACTGCTAGGAGCAAGGACGCTACTAGGGGCTCCTGGCCTTACTTCTAGGAGCAAGGACGCTACTAGGGGCTCCTGGCCTTTACTTTACTACTAGGAGCAAGGACGCTACTAGGGGTGCTCCTGTAACAAGAGGCTAGTAGTAACAAATGGACAGTATTAGGAGCAAAGGGCATCGCTACTAGGAGCAAGCACGCTACTAGGGGCTCCTGGCCTTACTACTAGGAGCAAGGACGCTACTGGGGGTGCTCCTGTAACAAGAGGCTAGTAGTAACAAATGGACAGTACTAGGAGCAAACGGCATCACTACTAGGGCTCCTGGCCGTACTACTAGTAACAAGAAGCTACTAATAACAATTGGAAATGTTTCTTTGGTGCAAAGACAGTTCCGATCCGAGGAACTGGATCAGAACACAACAAGTACCGGGGCTAAGCATCGGCTTCGTTTCTGCTTTCCAAGCGGTTCTTCGTTTCAAAAACTGGAAAACCTTCTTTGATGGTCTCCGCAATGCGTGTTTTATCTGCACCTAAGTTTCCAGAAATTCGTGTCAAGATGGAGCAACTGGTGAAGTGTTACATGTGCGTCGATGTTCATCTAAACCGTGTCAGTTTGGTTTCCATCTGTCTTCTGCATGTTTTCGCTCCTACCTCTGTGCTCATGAAGCGGATGCCGCTCCAAAACTCATGTCGACGCACGTCAAGTACTTGGTGCAAACGTGTGGCACGTGTGGCATCGAAGTTGTCCAATGAGTTTTTTCGATGGCTTCGATGCAAAGGAAGAAGCACGACAACTCTTGAAAGAATTCGTTTTTCCCCAGCGCAACCCCTTCAGAACTTGACTGCTTGTGTTCACCTGCTCAATTCTACTTTCATCCAGCCAAAATGCTCAAGTGACCGGCAAGAAAAAACAACACACAGAAAAAACATGACAAGTATGAAAATGTCGCGAATGAAACCTGTGAATGCAACAACATTTCCGCGTGTTCAGGTCACCAACGTCACACGCTGTGACTCTGCTGGCTTAACACAAAATTTTGATGGGACTTTTTTTTTTGCACGGGTGGAGCCGCCATTCGTGCAGGAAATGCATAGGTCAGCTTGTGCTGGTTTTGAAAGAGTCTCTTGCATGAAAAACCAAACAACAAACACCACACAAACACAAAACACCACCAAACAAAACAACCAACCAGCAAAGAAAGCAGGAGACTGTGTAAATGCAAGGTGAAGCCGGTGTGAGACATAAATCGGGCGTAATTAGTGCAAAAAGGCTGCATGAGAAGCCTGGAGCCAAGTCGAAGTTGCTGAGACAAATAGGCCTGTACGGGTCGGGCAATCAGATCAGACCGACTTTAACTTGCAAGTCAGGGGACATGGTTGATATTTTAGGTGCGTTTCTGTCTTATGCTCACAATGCATGACTCTGGAAAACCACTGTGACAAATCGGCTCTAACGCGCCAAACGAAAGGGCAGTCCATCGCCAGCAGTGCGGCCCACGTGGCTGATCGGTGAAACTTGGCTGTCCTGAGATGGAGGTGGCTGGGACAGTGGTGCTCCTTACTGCCTCGCAGTCACGCACCTCCCTCGCACAGGGGGGTGATGGTGTCTCACCATGGTGCCCCTCTGAACTGCTCAACGAGGGTGGCCTTCTTCTCACATTGTGGACATTTTAGCGGCAACCTTGTGGGACATGGAGACAGAGTGGACAGGCTGTCATTCAATGCATCATGCAGCGCACTTGTGAAACTGGTGAAACAAATCTGGGACGGAATTTGCTGCACACTTTGCACACGGCTGGCAGGGCTGAAGCCCATGGACAAGGACTAAGGTCCTCGCCAGGGTTCCAGCCAATTGGGCCTGCACTGCAATTGCGCAGCCTCAACACCAAGTGCACAGAGAGGTTCCTTGAAAATGGGCTTACATGTCCAGCAGAGTCATGTGGTCCTCTCCAACACCCCCGCAGTGCAGCAAACTGAACTGTTCGTCCAAGTCACCCCCTTGGCGCAGGGTCTTCAAGGGATGCGTGAATACCATATCAGCTTCTCCCACTGGTCGTATGTCGCGGCCTTCTGACTGCCTCACCTGCACGGCTGGGAGTTTGACCGGCTACTGCAGAGACCTTTTGATGAAGTCCATATTGGGTGTCAAGTAGGCCGGGTATATCGCATGATTCCACAAGAACACGACCAGGCTTTTGCCATGCTGGTGGTTCTGTTGGAACTTGTGCCACAAGCCAAGAAGAAATCGAAGAAAGAGGTGCCAGAGGCCCATAGGGACAAAGCAGCGCGCCAAAGTAGTCCACTGTCGCGGGAGGTTGCGTATATTCCGTTCCCTGAAAGCTTTGCACCTCTCCCTACGCAGGAGTCTTTCTGCACGTTCATGCATTCTCAAGATCGAACACGGCAGCACAATCGCAAGGCGCCTGATAGACCGCAACACATGCCTGTGCGCCTCTCAGCAGTCCTACATGGCTCCTTGAGAGCCTTTCGACATACTTGACTCACTGTGTCTTTCACTGTCTTTCTTGGCCTTTCTATGGCTCTGGTGGCAAAGCTGTTCTCGAGTCATCGTTGCCATTAGATTGTGAGCACTCCCGCCTCCCTCCTGGGGGGGGGGTGGTAGACCGGTAGAACGTCACAATCAGCACAATGTAGGATGGCTCCACTGTTTCAAGCTCTCGAAGATTTGCAGTCCTCGATTGGTGACACAGTTGTTTTCCCTGAGCCGAGACTGCTCCCCTTACATGCGATGTGTTCGTACTGCTGGAAGTTTGTGAATGGTGCGTAATTCGCTGTCTTTTGACTGGCCGTCAAGCTGGCCGCATTCGCACCTGCATTCTGTGAAAGCTTCGCCAAACCCTTTGAGAACAAGGTATACGGCCACGTTACCTGCCTGTTTTTGCATCAACACCCACATGAATTCGAGCTCTGGGTGCAAGTCTTAACTTCTCCCTGCGGAGGAAACATAAAAGAAAACATGAAAGGACAGGAAGGTCATGTACTGAGTGCCAAGGCTGAATTCATTGCCCCTAGTTTCACTCTGTCTCACCGCTTCCTCGGCTGTCTCAGCCTTCTTGAGGTACGAACCTTGCCTTCTTTTCTGGTCGGGTTTGTGTTGGGTTTTGGGGTGTTGTTTGGTCCTTCTCGGTTGGTTGCTTGGTTCGTATCTCTCTCCTTTACTAGCTAAAGGTGACTTGTGCACAACCTGCACACACAGCGCCTCGACTCGTGCAAAAAAAAGATGCAAGGCCCTAACCAGCCTTGTCCTCCCAGGGAACCTTCGTTCCATAGGCCACAGAGCTTTTGGCGTGCACTGCACTCTCCAGTCAAACCTACTCCAGAAACAGGCGAGGTGCGTGGAGGCGCCCATATGCGGCCTTTAATGCCTTTGAGGAGTGTTTCAAGCTTGATACCCCTTGGTGGCTCCACTACATACCCCCAAATGGGAGTGATTGGATGGCCCCACCTAGTCACCATCCGTGATTGCCATCCCCTGTCAATGGCGGTAGGGCGGGTAAGGGCGGTTACCCATGTAACCGTCCCTAGTCACCGTCCTCAGGATGGTCGTATTTTGTTTGTTTATTTGCTCCTTCTTGTTTGTTCTAGCTTTTTCTCTGATGGCTTTCATGTCATGGCTCAAAGGGACAACCGGACTGCATTCCTCCCCGCGATGATTGAAGACATTTCGTCACAGGACAGCTCACTGGTGAGTGAAGAACGATCACTAGTGTTGCGTCTGGTCCTGACTACCTTTGCTGGTGAGGAACTACAGTTGTCCATAGACCTGCAGGAGTTCGATCGACTTAATGAGTTCGAGACTGCAGTACTCGAGAATATTGGGGAGTGCAGCACCTTCGGACGCGAGCTTGACTTTGTACATAAGGACACCCAGGAAATTCTGACTGACCCTATTTGGGACACCCTGAGAGACAACAACTGCTTTAACCTGATCGTTCGCCAGTGCCTTGCTCAAGCAGAGCACAAAGGGCAGTTGAAGAACCGGGTCAGGGCCATTCGAATCCCGTCCACCATCATTGACCGGGTTTGCCACATGCTTTTTTGTTTTTTTCCACGAGTGCGGACGTCGTGTGGGCGGTGTGTCCAGGTCATCATTGAAAGTATGGAGACACTGCAAGTTGGTGGGGGAAGAAAACCAAAAACACCAAACCAAAACCCAAAAGCCAAACAACCAAACAACAAAACACAACCAAGGCCCCCAATCCAATGTGGGCAGTGTTTCCTCTGTACTAAAGTGAGACAGGTGAAAAGTTGACGAGCTGCAAAATACCTAAGGGCCTGAATTCACTACGAAAGGCAAAATGCTTCTGATCGTGGGCGAGTGTTCTGACTGGCCAATCAAAGTGGCCTCTCTCCATTGGCTAGGATGAGATCATCCAAGCCACATATGGTTTTTGGCACACGAAGTATCTTGACATTACGCAAGGTGCCAGGAGCAAAATCAGCAGTGAAATGATGACAAATGCCACAGAGTCATCGGTTGCAAAGCTTGGCAAGCCGTGGAAAATTCCCTTTCCGTAGCACAACCCATATTACTGTCTGCACGTACGAAAAGCAGAGGCTAATCTTGAGTATGGCAGTGAAAGGCATTGCAACAAAGGAACTGCTAGATCCAGTGCTGATTTCCCTCCCACAAGGGAGGCACAACACACCACCCAATGGCTCCCACGCGTTAGCCAAAGGGATCACAGAGGGTGTTCACTCTTCCGTCTGATAGTGCGCTTTGGGGTCACTATCCTTCAACATGCATGGCCCATGTGAAACTGGTGAAACAAAGACCTATCCTAGCATGGTACTTGTGCCATCTTTGTACAAGATTGGCTGTGTTAGGCTCCCGCAGACGAGCAACTAAGGTTCTCACCTGGGCGCCATTCATCAACCACTCTGCTACCACCGGCCTCCCAAGGACCAAGAGCTAAGGCTCCCGGCTCACAAAGTTGCAGACGACGAAGACGAGAATGGCGCCGCTCTCTGCTTGTCGGAGCCTAATTCACTCTCGAACAGTGGAGAAGTGCGCCTTACGCTAAGCCGGACACGCAGCCACTGTCAGGAATCATATGCAACCACGGTGGCCATCGCATGGCTGGGCAAACAGCAAAAGCATTTTCTTCTGCATAAATTCCTCTCCATTTATGCCGGCCTGGGAGTTTGACAAGCCTACGGAGTGCGGTGCAGTCTTTTGTTTTTTGCACGGGTGGAGGCGCTGTGTGCGCCGAAAGGCACAAGTCACCTTGATTGAATTAAATAGAGACACTAAGGAGATACGAGCCAGGCACCAGAGCAAGGCACAACACCACAAAACAACCCAACAAACAAAAAACCCAAAACACAAACAAACAAAACAGCCAGGTTCGTATCTCAGATGAATTCGTTCTTCTACTTGCGCTCAGTACGTGATGGTCAGGCAACAACGATATTCCTTTCTGCGGGCAGTGAGGATCCGTATGGCAATGATGATCATCGCCCATGCGCGCGAAGGACACCCAAGAATGCGCAGAAGTGGTGGGAGCATTTACGAACAATCGCAGTTGCAGCTCAGCAATTTTGTGACTTATTTCCAAGAACACGGCCTTGCAGGCAACAGCTTCGGATTGGCACGCATTGACACCTGAATGGCAATTGCATTGGTTTCGCACCAGTATGTGGTACTTAGATTGCGACGGTTGAGGTTGAGACAGGTGACAATCAGGTTTGTCTCCGACTC